GTGCCAGACGATGATGGCTAATGCCGAAGAAAGCGAGATGAGGCCCAGTCACGTCCTTCGGAGTTACGATAAGAACAACTTCGGGCGCAATCGGAATGTAGTCTTCAGCAACCCCCGGAAACCGGAGAGAGCACGGCGTTTGCTTGCGGGAACAGGCGTGAGCGGCGCCTACATCACTAGCGATGACATATCGAAGTAAAGAGAGAACGAAGTCATGCGCTCCTTGGAGGTCATCGGACAGGCGCAGCATCTCCTATCTTCTCTGCTTCGTTTACACGCCTCATCGACGAGATTCGAACCAGATCCCCCCACACTTTGGTCAGCCTGGCTTGCGTCTCCCTGCAACCGCGACAAATTGCGACACCCTCTTCTCATGACCCGGGAGGCTTTGCCAAGTTAAGAAAAAGACAACTTCCCACCTCAGCTGGCCTTCTTGTCCAGGAAGTTAGCGCATGTGGTCTGTTGGAAGCGCAGATTAGCGCCATCACACCATAACCCCAGTCCTTGGTTCAGCGTCAGGCGGAATGATCAAGAGGAAAGGGTATCTGTCCTTTTGTCTAAGCGCCCTGCGAATGTGTCTCAACTCCGAGATCATGTTTCGACGAGCTCATCGAGCAAAGGACCTGGCTCCTGAAGTCAAACAAACAAATACCGGTATACCACCGAGCAGTGCTCACTCTCTCTGACTTTCTCATCCTTCTCGGGGGCGCAATATGGGCGTTAGGCCGTCACTCAGAAAGCAAACCATCCAGCCAGCATCGTCACAAGCCAAGCAACCCAGGTTTCTTCCCAACGACTGGATACATGTCATTTACTCGATTGTTTAAATCTCAGCATTCACTTGGATATCCGCGTCATGTCTCGTCTTTTCTCTCCCGCACCAGCCAATCTTCCGCCCTTCCCCGGGAGCATTGGCCGCTTGAACTTACACGGCAGGCGACAGTGCACAATCCTTTGAAGGGCGGCCTCGCCCGCATGCCCTGTCTCGAAAAGCAATTCCATCTCAGGGCTCTTCGAATCGGAACGCCTTCCAAGTAGGCCAAAGACGCCATGCCGCTCTCCCCCAGACTCCCCCGGTCTCCACTTCTCCTGCAACTTGCTTCGTGGCTTTGGCGATCGATTTTTCAGAAATCACCACGCCCATTCTCATAGGTTGTACGTACCGTACAGTCTATCCTCTCACGCTCTGTGGGAGAGGTCTGCATCTACCACACCATCTCGTGTGCCAGTGTGTGTCCAGTTCGACCTATCGCTTCAAAATGTTATGGCGGTGAGGAAATAGGCAGGTAAACCACGCATGCGTGGCCTTGATTTCCTGTTTAGAAAAACAGGCACAGACAAGAGTCGTGCGCATCGAGGCAGCCATTTGGAGGCGCTCAGAAGAGACACAACAGAAACGCGTTGCCTTGGATAGGTTTCCAGTAGCTGGTACCGAAGATAACAACATTGAGCTGCAGCGGACGGACTACTGCTATTGCGGCCTTCATCGCCAGGCCGCCCTGCGCTCGGTGGACGCCTCCTCGAGGCCGCTCTACAGGACACATTGCGACGGCTAAACGCCAACGTTGCACCGCGTCCGAAACCATACTTACAGGACTGCTTTGGTGATGCGCCAGAACTTGCGAAGAAGGGCTGGTATGCCAATACCCGGTGAGCAAGCCATGGCTGACGCTCTCACATGTGACGAGTCTTCTCGTAAATCCGACCTACACAGTTGACCGGACCTGGCTCAGAGACTCTAGCTGGCGAGGTGGTTCGCGCGCCGCCTCAGCTGCGACAGGGAGAAAAGGACTGGGAGTTTGCATGTGCCTTGACTCCCTCGTGAATCCGACAACAAGTGGGCGGCATCCAACGATTCAGCCCAAAACCTTGGGGCATGATAACCAGGCCGGAGTTGTCATCGTCCGAGGAAAGGGACGGCAAGGAACCGCAACGCAATCTGGCAGTCCGACTTGTGCAAGAAACATTGTTTGGTGGCTTTTGCTGCTGCTGCTGCTCTCTCGGCGCACAAACCAAAGGAGCTGAATTTTGATGAGCCGGAAGAGTTTACGAGTTGCGTTCCTGGCCCAACAGCATCTCGCCACCCAACTACCGAGCCCACCACCCCTTGGTGGCCGAAAATGGGATACGGCAAGGGCAAAAAGCAACCATCCCCAGAAAGCTAACCCACACCATCCCCCGCCATAGTACGGGGAAAATGACAGTGACATTTCCTGAGTCATCATTCACCGACCTCCGTTTGAAACTGGGGAACCTTCAGGGAATTTTGAATGTCACTGTCTTGGCCACGCCCCCTTTTGGCCCCTCCGTTGCACAGAACAGCATCCGCAAGCTCCGGATCATGCTATTCTTGGCCGACAACATCTTGCTTGTGTCGTCGCAATGATCTGATATACACAGGGCGCTAGTGGGGGAAGGGGGGAGGACAGAAAAAAAAAATCCATCCTTCCGACCACGAAGATCCTATGGAGTTGTCAAACCATTTTTTTTCTGGCTTTTCTTCTTCTTTCCCCACGGAAACGAGGCAAAAGTGTCAGAGTCGGTGCCAACGCAACGCCTTCATGCCAGGGACAGTGGGGCCGGGTGTGATATCATCCCCCAGAGAAATACGTAATGCCGTCCGTTCCAGACCTTTTTTTCACTCTCCTGAATCCCTGGCGAGGAGGGACAGAATGGTAGGGAAGAGAGCTCGAGAGCCGGAGGAGGAGTGCGGCATGAGAAAGGGTTGTTGACTTTTGCTGGAGGGGTCCTTGGGCCCCCCAGGGGAACTGACTCTTGCACCTGCCCCGAAACTCCACCCCAGCGCATCATTCCACCAGGTTTATCGAAATGTTCGCGCAAGTTGGCATGGGGGGAGGATTTGGCCGAGATATGGCACGACACAAGCAGAGAAAGTGGTTCTAGTTTCCTACCCTTTCCCCCTTTCCTCCCACCCCATCTTGACGTAGTTGACTGGCAGGATGGGGTCTCGCGTGCCCCGTTCTCTCAAGCCAAGTCACGTCTTGGTCGAGATTTCCTATAACGCGCCCCATATTGCTCTATCTTTTTCATCTCCACGGGTCTCGGTCGATCAGGATCTACTAGCGTTCATGAGTCGGGGGGGAAAGGCGGACTGCCTAGGGCATCGTCACTATTGCTGACGATGTCGAACGATTGAGCCAGTACAATCCTAGGCTTTGTTTGCTCAGAGTCCGGGGAAAAGGGCGCGCTTGGAGTGAATCCGGCAGGCAAAAAGATGGGAAAATGCTGGATGCAGCCAGCCTGCAGGTTAACAAACTGCACATTGCGGATACGATTTGATCAGTGTATCCGTATCTATCCGCTTCACAGTGACAAGCCCCCCGTTCAGTGCAGACGACGATCCAAAGGGGTAGGTAGGTATTGAAAGTTGAGTGGTGTCTCCTATCTAGATGGGGGCGTGTGTATGCGTGTGTCAGTTAACCGCCCAAGAGCCCACCAACCCCAGCCATGGAACGAACATGGTGCCAAGGAAAATGGGTGAAAGATAGGGCCCGAATGGGACAAATAACACCAACTAAAACATTGGAAAAATAGAAATCCCCTACTGGTTTCCTTTTTGTTCTTACGAATGGAGTTGGAAAGCTGGGGCTGGATTCAGAGATGGGGCTGAGGGGGCTGGAAGATCCCCATCTGTGCCTTGGTTTTTTCTTTTTTTTAACTATGAAGGGTTCTGCCTCACAGGGCTTAATGTTGGTTGGCAAGGGCGGGGGAGTGAGTATCCGTACGTAAAGATGTTACCTGTTTACGCTATCTATACTCACTTTGCGTCAGGTTATGACAAGTTGAAAAATAAGAAGAAAAAGTTGTGTTGTTGCGTTGGCCCTTTCGATGACACACACACACACACACACACCCGCGCATACCCGCGCAGATACAACTAAGTGCTGCGGAATAGGCGGGATCCAGATTAAATAGTATTCAGATTTCAGTACCTTGCCTTATGAAAAGGGTGTGAGTGTATATACCATACACAGAGAGTGTGTACTCTGACGAACTAGTATAGATGGAGAGGGAGGTTTATTCCCCCCGTCGCTTCGTTTCTTTGCAAACTCGCCCTGTCTTGCGCAGTGGCAGTTCGTAGTCTAGCCGAGGAGGAAATTCCCATCGAGAAAACTGTTCCACAAACTTACGGTGGGGAAGGTATGTAGATGTACGGATTCGGGCACAAAAAAGATCTTGAGAGGTAGTTGAGAGAGAGAGAGGGAGGGAGAGGATTTGGTTTGTCTTTTTTTTTCCATTCCCCAGAAACCATGCCGCCATGTATCCTTGGTCCAAAAGAGCCCCCCCTTTTCCCCAGTCCGCCACCGCAACCCCAGAAAAAAAATAAACGATTGAATTTTTTTTTTTTTTTCAAAGGGTTTCTCTTGTGTGACTCGAAGACCCTCCATGATTATCGTCTCCTTCGGACGATCATTCTTGTGGTTGGCAGCTTGTTTGTGGGGGGAAAGAACGATGCTTAGCGAACTTTGAACTCTCAACTTGCCGTTTCTGTAAAGTTCGTCTGGGCAAAGTTGCGCAGATTACGTACGGCGTCATACCTACATTACCTACCTACCCTCAGTACCTTACCTCTAAAGCATGTGGGGGCCCGCCCCGGGGAAAAAGTAAGAGAGGGATGGGATGGTGGAGGGTGAAAACGCCCGCGCAGCAGCCCGCGAACCCCGGACACCACCAAAAACCGGACACCACACCACACCCTCCCTCTCCCCCCCTTTCCAACCCATCGTAAGGAAAAGAGAGAGAGAGGGAAACAAACGACCGCGTGGGCACGGGTTCCGATCATCGGTGGTGGGTGGTGGTGTTTCTTGGTCACACCCCAGATGCACCCTCGCACACATCACATTTGCAAACACGGGGGGCGGAGGAACAAATCAGTCCACCGTTTGAGACACACACACGCACAAGCAGATAGAGTCCCGTTTTAGATCACTAGATTCATCACATCAAACGGCGAGCGGTTGGAACGCTGGTAAAAAGTGTGGGGGGAAGATCTGTTTGGATTTCTCCTTCTCGAGTTTGTCGAGGGTTTATCGAGTAAATCTCTTTCTAAGAACAATTGTAAAGAAAACAAGCTTTCGTCCAGCCAGCCTAAGCGGCGACGTTCGTCGTAAAGAAAATCCAGACATAAAAAAAAACCAGTAGACCAGAGTGTCAGCGCTGTCTCTGCGCTTCAAAAAACAAAAAAAAACCCGCCCAGAGAGGAAGAAAATCCTCTCATGTACACCGCCCAAAGTTGTTCCCGCCGTCTATAGGTTGATATCTTGGTTTGTCTCCGCCGCATCGCCGATACAAGCAAATCCGTGACACAGATGAGAAAGGACGGGTTTTGTAACGACCCGTTGACGTTCTCATACACACACACTCACTCACAAAATCCCTATATCCATCACACACAAGAAAGAGAGGAGAAAAAAGGACACAGGAAAAATGAGTTTTGCTTTTCGTAGTTGTTGAGAGGTGAGGGTGGAGTCGTATGTCCGATCTCTGGTTGTTCGTCCATCGAGGTAGGAGTGAGTCTATAAGATTGAGTGTAGCCACCACTGTGAAAGAGGAGCCCATCGAATTCTTTGGTTTGTTTGTTGTTTGGTGATTAGATAAAGAAGTCGTGGTCGGCTAACTCTGCCAATTCGAAAATACCCGGAAACGCCATTGTTCTTCTATCCCGTCTATTGCCCAGGTCGTCAGGTCATGCCACTTTAAGGTTGTCGTTCCCGTTACATCCGATCCATGAGGTCACCGCCGGCAACGCTGCCAGTGGTGGAACTCCTGCCGCTCTGGAAACCATCGTTTCCGTCCAGAAGCTGGTGAACACCAATCTTGGGGACTGGCAGTTTCCGGCCGGCGTCAGGCCGGCTGATAATGTCTGCCAGAGAAGCACCGTTACGAGTGGGGGTTCCGGCGCTGGTAGGCGCGGGAGGGGGAGGCAAGTAAGGAGTCTCCAGGTGAGGCTCGAGAGGAGCCAAAGCAGGAGGTGCCGCGTGCTGCAGGGAAAGGTTGCGGAGAGAAGGCAGCTCGTAGCCCATGGGGCGAAGTCTCGGGGAGTGAGCGGGTGTAGCGATAGGGGTGTGGTCGGGAGTAGGCGACAAAGAGTCGTGGGAGAAGGTAGGAGAGGAGGGTGCCGTGGAGTTGGGCGAGTTGGGGCGAGATCGCTTTGCGTGGCGAGAACCAGCGTAGTGGTCATCGTTGTGCTCATCGTTGGAGTGCGATCTCGACATGTGGTAAGCTGAGAGAGAGGGAAGGTGGCCGCGCGAGTTGTGCAGGCTGTGGGAGTAGTAGGGGTGATGTCTGGCAGAAGAGCCGTGGAAAGGCGGTGCGGTGAGCGTCTCACGCTCGACCTGATTTGCAGCCTTTGCCAGGATAGAGATGTCCATGTTGGACTGGCCCTGCATCTGGCGGCCAAAGGGGCTGCCGTGTCCCGGGTGAGCGGGCAAGACGTACTGAGAAAAGGAATGCGGCGGCGAGACGTTGGGCGAGGACAAGCTCGACGTAGGCGCAGAACGGATCGTCTTGGGTGCGGGAGGAGGAGCCATCATGCCGTCCTGGGGCAAATGGGGCTGAGGACCAGAGTTGTACTGGTTCTTGCCTCTCCTCGAGTTAGGGTTGCTGTGTATTCTTGAGTGGCGGGTGAGCTCGTCTGAGCGGGAGAACTTCTTGCTGCAGCCAGGGTACTGGCAAGCGTGAGGCTTCTCTCCAGTGTGAGTGCGGATGTGTCTCGTCTGGTGCTCAAGGCGGTGGAAGGCCTTATCGCACAAGGGGCACTTGTAGGGACGCGGAAGCTCGTTCGGGTTCTCGGCGGTCTGGCCGGGGAGAGGACCCTTGGGCTTCAGCTCGTTGAGAGGACCAAGCCTCGTAGTTTCCATGGCATCGCCGGACATCATTGTGTCGTTCTTATCGGGGTTGAGTAAACTTGAAAAGTTGAAAGGAGACGGTTGTGTCTGCTGCATGTGATCGCCCATTTGCCCTGATAGTCCAGAGCTGGGCCGCTTTGCGGTAGTGGTCGAACCCTTTCTCCTATTCTGTCCTTTCCAATGGTAGTCGACGATGGTAGTCGTCGATGTGTATTGTATAACCGGACTCGAGTATCGTGAGTGCGGTTCCGAGTTGCTGTATGTTGCTTGTGGTGTGGTAAGTGGGCGTGGATGAGGGAGTCGAGAGAGTGCGGGTGAGATGGGTGTGGGAGGTCGGCTGGATATATAAGTTATGCGAGGTTGAGTGGCAGCGGTGGTGGGTGGGTGTGTGGGAAAAAAAAAAAGCTTTGGCGGCTTTTTGGGGGGGGACTGAGGGGTGGCCCGGGGTAAGTTGGCTGGTCCTGGGAGGGATGACAATGACAGTAGGTTGGCGTAATAATTTTCTTCCAAAAGGAGGAACAGAGTGAAAGTTGGGGAAGGAGGGAGGGTGCTACGGTATTCCCAAGGTAGAGAGAGAGGGAAAGGAAAAGCAGGTAATGAAGGAAGAGAGAGAGAAGAAGAAAAAGAGAGAGACGTGGGGAGTGAGGTGTGTGTGCAAGTCACCTCCAGTTCAAGTTACGGGGTGGGAGAGAGACGGCGAGGGGGGTGTGGATTGTGTGGACGGTGTGGATGGCGGGATGGGGTGTGGGCGGTTCCAATCGCAGTCCTACTTGTAATCCCAGACCAGACAAAATGGGGAGGAAGAAGGGCAAGGGAAGGAACCCCAGAGCAGGGCGTGGGCAGTTTCTCGGACGCTCTTTCTCACCCTCATTCTCACCCACTTCCTCGGCCTGGCCTTGTTGGAAACTGGTCGTCCCTGTACGAATACTTCCTCGACCCGGTCCTGACCCTGACTGGCTTTCCTATGGACGGTACACCGCACAAGTACTCCCCAAGTCGTGCTTGACTCCTGAACATCCCGTACTGAAATCTGTAGATACGCTCTGCAATCTGCCATGTGTGAGTTTCGACCTCAGCCAGCCAAGGTTTGCTAAGGAAGTCTACTCTTTACTGAATTCGCACCATTGTCTTTTGGAATCTTCCCCCCCGGTCTTCTTTGCTCGTGCTCATGCTTGGCCATACTTGTAACTGTGTCTCTATGCCCTTCTGGGGCTTCCCAAGAGAAGAAAACGGGGCTCTTGATACAAATTTGTCTCCCCTAGTTACCTAACGAATGGTCAGAGAAGGGCACCAGAAGAAGCCCGGGAGCCACCAACTACGACGCAAAATACGGATCCAATACCAGCGCAGAGGGAAGGTACACCAAAAAGTGGGCGGTACTTTGTGGAAAGGACGACGGGGGTTCGATTTGAGTGCGGGTGCGAATGCGGGCCCCCATGGCTTCCTCCCACCCCATAATCCCATTTCAGCGTCAAACCCGCCAGCATCAGAGAGAGCAAGCGCACTTGCGCGGGGGGGGCCCAGCTATACCTTGTGGGCGTATCGGCGGCAGTACGGTACTTCTCTACGGTAGGTATGGTGGTGTACAGTATGGAGTACCTACCCGCTGGCTGGATGTTCGTTAGTCGACACTCGACACAGAGTCACAGACTGTCAGATTCACACCGGCCGCGGCAGCCGTGGAGTACCTAATCGGACAGGGCTGGAAGAGGCTCGGGATGTAAGGTACGGGGACGAGTTACGGAGCACCTACTGGCTGCTTCGCAGAAGGACGAGCGTAAAAGACGGGGGAGAAAGGCTTGGCTAAACCGCCATTGACTGGATGAGGTACGTCGTAGACGGAAGATATCCGTGATGAAGTGACAACGGGGGGAGGAACAGGCCAGTCATGGCTGCCAGGTAGGGATAGATGTTTTACCGTGGTAGGAGGCGGCAGCGAGCGCCTATGAAAGAAAATAGACCGGGTGTGAGAATTGTGTGGGTGAGGGCTACCTCACAGCCAGGAGCCAAGAGAGAGAGGCAGAGAAAGATACCGCGAGAGCGCGCTGGTGTGTGTGAAACTATGAGTGCGTGTCGTCAACCACAAGCCACGCCGCTACAACCTCAGCAAGAAGAAGTCAACGATGATGGCCAGCAGGGAGTCCAGCAGGTGGGGTGGGATGAGAGGGGGGGCGTGAGGCAAAACGATACTGACTCTCTTCCCATACGTTATTTACGCGGGTGAAAGGGGAGAGAGAGAGGAAGAGCCCGAGAGAGGACGGGAGAGAAGGGGCGTGTGCTTTGGAAAGAGAGAGGGGCGTGTCACAGCCGGGGGTTTGGACCCCATTCTCCATAATTCCAACCCCACTCTGGGAAAAAGCCAAGAGCGACGTGCTCTGCTCTCCCGGAGAGATCGGTACGTATCGGCCCTGTTAGAGATGGATCCAATGCTCTTTTTTTTCTTCCCTCCTCGGACGACGAAGTACCCGAATACCTCCCTTCAGACTGAAGACCTGAGGCACCATAGGTATACCAGCAGTACTCCGTAGAGCAACAGGTACTCCGCCAGGTAAGGTACACGCACCATCAGATACCGACGTGGTTTTGCGACAGGTCGGGGGAAACTGGGGATCGGTACGTACCCTCTCTCTCTCTCTTCAGTCTTTCCCTTCACTCACACTTTTTTTTCTCTTTCTTCGCCTCGTTGTATTCCGGTCCATAATTTTCACCTGTCAATCTATACAGATTCTGTACGGAGTATGGATTGTATTCCGTACAGTTGTGCTCATCATTAGCCTTTTACCTTGTGCTATGCCCGGGCTTTGCTGGCACCATCCGACAAGGCAAGCATCTCTGCTGTAATACCCAAAGGCAAATCGTGGCATCATCACCGCCATCATTGCTAACACCACCACCACCATCACCATTATCTCCGTACTAGTCAGCACAGGCAGACAAGAAGAAGGGAACGGAACCATACCGCCGTGTTGGTCAGCAAAGTGCGCAATCAGGCACGCAGATACATTTTCTCTTCTTGGTGGCCATCGTGTGTTCCGACTCTTCACACCCTCATCCTTCACCGTTCCCGCCCAAGCCCCAAATCATAGTGCACTATTACACCATCGTTCCATGCCAGAGGCATAGGGATCCTTATCCTCAGAAGAAGCAGGTACTCCGTAATGATCGTAGGACCGTGAGGAAAGAAAAATCTTCTCTCTTCCTTTTTGTCATGCCGGGTCTGCGTAGTCCGTCTTGGTATGGCGGCCGTGGTGGGAATGCTCAAACGGTGCCCTGCGGCCTGCCTGACTTGCTAGCTTGGCCGTGGTGAATCCTCGGCCTCATTCGCAATATTGCCTATCCACCCAGCGTATCCGTCCGCCCCCTTCGTCGTTCAGCACTTCAGTCGTGTTCCCCCGTATTGGCATCGCCGCCGCTATTCCCGCCGCTCGAGAATCCCCACACCACTTTGACCTCCAGGACCCAACAACAATTTTCTAAAGACATCGTGAACCACATCTCGGTCTATTGCCGACACGTGCCTAGTCTCCCGCAGTCAATATCTGCTCAGGATGGAGTATCGATGGGGCGAGCATCGTGAACAACACGACATGGCCCTTGTGCAACGTGGGCAGCACAATCGTCAGTAATCTTGAAGAGACTTTTTTTTTTCCCCTCCACGCCTCGCCCATCTCATCCCATGGCCCTTGGCCATCCCGCTTTCCTTTCCCCAGGCCACCGAGATTAGCATCCCCCAGCCTGGTCCCGGCTTGTCCTCACAAACGACCCTGACTTGTAATTTGTGTGTGGGCGGACGCGGGGGGGCGGTGAGGCAACGGAAGTGAGTGGTGGCTTGGTTCTTGATAAACCCCAAGCTTGTGCCACCATCCTCGTGTCTGATTGGTCCGCCACGTTCTTGGGAAGCTATTCAGGGAAGTAAAGAAGAAAGAGAGACGACGAAGGCAGACGAAGGAGAAGAAAAATGCAGGGGAAGAAGAGACCCCTCGTCACGCAATGTGCCGCCCAAGTCACCTCGCCCATGGCACAATCCTGTCCCGGCTCTCCGCTCATCGCCAGTTTTTACCCCGTGGGAATGAGGGCACAACCTTGATCCGCGGGCGCCTGCATTTATTGGCAAGAAGGAAATCTGGGGGAGGACGTCGGCCCAAACAGAGACAAAATATCGTTTTCTTCTCCACGGGGAATCCCCAATCATGCCCTCATCTCACGAGTATCAGCTGAGGAGAGAGGATGCCGGCATTCAATTCGCCTCAATCCCGACCGGGGGATCGTCCATGCCCCTTGCCGCGGTGCCAATCCAGGCCGCATCGTGGCATGGCCGCCCACTGTCAGTCAGGCCTAAGCAAGGCGAAGCGCATATAGAGAAGAGACAGAGCCCAATAAGCTTGTTCGATGCTGTCCTTCCTCGCCCAAGCCGCAGTCCTCGTGTATCGTTGCTCGGAGCCTGCGGCAGGTCCTCAGGCGTCTATAGGTAGACCTATCTTTGTGCAGGCCGTATCACAGGGCGCAGGACAGCCTGTCCGAGCTGGCACGGCGCCGCGATTCGAATTCCTCAGCTCACCATGAGATGAGGTCGGGACTGTAACCCCGCGGTGTGGGGGGCTCCTCGCTTCGTTGCGCTTGTACTGGTAAGGCGATGAGAACTGTTGGCCAGCGGATGAGAGGCAGCCAGCAAATGGTGATTGTACCAGCTCAAAAGCGCCGCTTTGAGATGTAACTTTGCGGCCCAAGTCGAGATACCTGCTTGCTTGCCCATCGCCTTGTCGCCCTACTTTGCTCTTGCCTTATCACTCAGAGGACCGAGCAAAGCCCAGCGAGAGCGGCTCGTTTGAATCGCAATGTGTTGGCCCGTCTTTACGAGCGTCCTTGGACCGCAATTCCGAGCCCTCACCTCAACACCGGGGTCCCGGCGGGGGTGTGGGGGCCGCTGCTTCTTAGCTTCCCTCCTTCGAGATAAGAGTCTGGAGCGGTACCGGATCCCCAGTAGCCATTGCGCACATTGTCTCTCTTCTTGGCCATGAAAGCCACCAGGCGTCCGAATCACCAGACACCCTTTAAGAGAATTACCTCCACACAAGTTGATCTGCCTCACCGCAATACAATAATGTGAATGGGGCCTTGGTCATCCGGGCCGCCCAAGATGAGTCTCAAATCTCAAACTTCTCAGCCGACCCAGTCAAAGAATGAGGCCAACAAGAGAATCACCATTCGTTGGTGCGATTCTCGATGTTGCTACCTTGTGTGTCTCGGTTGTCTCCTGTCACGACTCCGCAGCGCGTTAAGCGCGAGAAAAGAGCCTTGTCGCAGATGAGTCAAATTTCCGCATCGCATCGTGACTTCTTCAGCGCTCGACAGCGCGAGACGTGATCCTCAATAGATAAGACGCCTACCTAGTATCCGTAATCGCTGGGGCTCTCTGGACTCTCTTCGGCTTGGTCGCTGTTCCTCCACCCTGTGCATATGTTCATCCAGCACTAGGCTTGACACAGGGTAGACGCTTCTGCGGTTCGGCAGCCCTCGGTAGTCAGTGGCCGAGGACAACAGGCTCCGCTGACCCTCGGCTCGCCTCTCGGTCTGCGAAAACG